TTTTTTTTTTTGGCGGTAGACATTCACATTTCTTTTTAGTTTGATCTAACAAAACTCACTTTGGTTTTTTAAATTTTGATTGCAATCAATGAGCATACCAACAATGTATTCCAATAATTCCATGACATTTTTAACTATACACGTCTTGCAACTTTTCTTGATTTTTCTTGCAACTTTTTCTATTTTCAAAAGCAACTTTCTCTGAGGACAGGCCGGTAGGCCTACTCAGTCTCACACTCACACAGGTTCATTGACCGGTCACATTTTTAATACTAATTTATTTTCAAGGCGACACAGCGCCCGTAATGCACAACCTGCATGTTACAAATGCTGCGTTATCTTTCAGACTATTACCGGAAAATTTCTGGGTGGTAACGAAAGCGAAAGCAGATCTTGATTCTTCCCGATCGAGCCTCGGTGTCACACACATACACTTCCGCCATAGTGGTTCAATTACGTGTCCTCGTCATGATTCATCAACCATACTGTCTAGATTATAATAGCAAAGATAGTATAGATAGCTACACTACTAATATTATTATATTACACAGGCCCTATCCTTTCCCGACCCATCACAAAATTCCCGACCTGGTGGGGACCCTGTTTGCCCCCTCCTCTGGGCTCCTGTCACGTTCTGCAGCCTTTCTATTGCTACTCCTTGGCTACTGATCTTCTGGTTGGAAAGATATACACCTAGCCTTCTTGGACAAAGGCGAAAATCTTTGGAAGGTACCGTGTGCAAGTTGCAAGCTTTCAACTCTGTGACGACGTCGTAACATATATTATAATATTAATACGAAGTCGCTTTCAACGAGGTCTCGATAACCAAATAAAAGCAAAAGCAATTTGGGGCCCCAAAAGCGAAGAATTTTTCTCCTTTCTCTCCATCTCACGCTAAGCACAATCCTCCATTCATAACACGCTGTGTTGCTAGATCTAGTGTGCCTCCTAATGGGCCCCAAAGCCAGGAGGATGTGCGAGGGTTAGCCTACGGTAGGGATGGGGGGACAGGGTGGGTGGGAACGCGATGCGGGCTGCGTGAAACTGGATGATCTCTGGATGGAGGTCTAGGTCTAGATCGAGACCTTCATTTTATTCAATTTTCTTTTTTTCTCTCCTGATCAGAAAATCCAAGCTCCCGCCTTTACTTTATGTAGATCAAGGCCTAGATGTGAGAGGGTATGTTTCCACACAAAAACTTCAAGAAGTGTTCAGGAAAAAAAAATTTATTAAAAAAAGCAGAAATGACGGCCCGAGTACAGCTCAAATCACGCGCACACTGATGCTGTTGGAGATTTTCGCCATCAGGGGAAACAACTGTCTTAATGGGAGCTTCCAGCAGCTGATTTAATTTTTCGAGGATTTTCGGTTTCAGGGCATCGTAAGTATGCCATTTCTGGCTATTCAAGCCTAAATTTAACAAGAAAATAAGTGAGAAAAAAACGTACTTGCATACATAATTTTCCGCTTGTGGTAATCCATATATAGAAATCCAAAGCCATGCTTTCTCCCTTGTTTGTAGCCTACCAACTCTGACACCCACAAAAGTAGTATATCAGCTAGATCTATACTATAAAACTTGACAGTTAATGTTCAACCTTTTTTCTGCACGTGTTACTGTTATTTGTACCATAATGTGTAGAAATATTACACATGATGTATAATAGTACAGCTAGAATCTAGATCTAAATAACTTGACCCAATTCCTAACCTGACAGCTTATATTCAACTTAGACCCACAACAATATGTACAAATAAACGCTCTCTTCAGAGTTTTCTTTTCTTGGCAGGCCCAAGATCTACTGAACCACAATCATCATGTCTTCCTCTTGTTTACAGTTACAGTGCTGGTGCTCTGCTTGTGCTTTAGAAAATGAAAGTAAAAGACACTGTCTACACTTTCAAATAAAAGAGCACTTCTGGTATGGGTCGGCTATAGTTGACTACCGGTATTAGTATTAGTAATTACGGAAATTTTATATTTCGTATTTTTGCAATAAAAAAAAAAAAAAAAACATTTTTGGGCACAGTTTCACGCAAATTTTTCCATTTGCGGAATTCTGCAAAACTGCGGAAGACTGGAAGCTCTGTATTAATTACCGGTACAGGTATATAATAATGTAATTTTAATCACCGGACTCCTTTTTTCTTCTTTAGCCTTAGTCACGTTCAACGAGAGGTTGAATCTAACGAGGACAACAAGCCGGTCCCGGCAACCTCGTTGAATGCGACACCCACTGTAGGCCTACATTGTAAGAGACACGACTCTGGGATTCACGATAAGCCTGCTACTGTAAGAAGAGCGGCCCTATGTAGAGAGTAACACAAAGAAATGAAGGAGAATTAGAGACGAGTCATTCGACAAGATAAGGAAGAGAAAACCACACCAGAGCACGGGCAAAACACCCACCATCACCAATAAAAAGCAGCACAACCTAAATCATTCAAAAGTACAAAAGAAAACCAACACTCAGATATAATACACCAGTCAAGTCATTTATTTCGGTTGTTGTTGCTTCTTCCCTCCCTTGATCTGGCTTGCAATTCTGTCCAAATCTCTGCGGCCCTGTCCTGTCAGACGGCGACCACTGCGGAAAAAAAAGAAGATTTTTACCAGTCACAGAAAAAGAATTAGTTACAGGGTAGTTCAGTCAATAATCATATAATGTTGTATTACCCCTGTAGAAGCAGATCATTCATGTTTCTGAGGTAAATAGTTACCCCCGATAGTATTTTTTGGTGTTGTACGGCGCTCGCAAGTGGACTAATCCAGATTCCTGGGGTTTCCAGAAATCTTGACACCTACACCAAAAGTAGGCATAGTCCTACCTATAGGAGAAATTTGGTTTCATTGGTGTGTATATTTGCTTAACTCCCCTTGTCTTTTAAAGAAACTGAACAAGGGGCAAAAACTTTACACACCTTCGATTTTCTCAAAACAGCATTTTTCGGGATAGCCCCCTTGTGCTTAAAAGCAACCCCATAAATGAGCAAGCTCGGACTCAACGAGGGTGGCTTGCAGGATGAACTGCCCGCCGCTGACATGACTGTTCATTTTTCTCCTACAATGAATTTTATCCGGCCACGGAAACCATCACCGGCACCATCTTGAACCATTATCTTGTTAGCATATTGTTTATATCTTATGCAACCAATCAGTGGCCTTCTTCCATATGGAAACACATTGTTAGCGTGCATCGGACAGATCATGTGCGACTGTGTGTCTGGGGGTACAAGCGGTCCGGGCATAGAACTTAGGTAAAGATACAAATAAATGAGCCAGTTTTTTTTCACACTGGTTTCTGATCAACGCATCAACAACGTCACAATGATAAGCTAGTCTTGACATAGATTTATGTAATGAATTTTGTGTGCTGGACAATAGAATCAAATGTTGCAGGCTAGGTTCTACAGAACATAACTTGTCGGGCAAACAGAACGCTATGGAATTAGATGGTAGATGACATAGGCGTGCATTTGAACAAATAGGCTTTTTTGCTAAGCGTGTGTCGGTAGAGTCAAGTATATATTCTTGGAATTGTCCAGCATGTCTTCGGTATCACATCAAAGAAACAAAAATGCCTCTCATTTGAAACCAAACTAATTTTCATTGAGAAAATCCAATACATTACTTGCTCAGTGCCTGTAAATATCTCCATAAAAACCTCATGTCTGCTACAACAAACACTCGCACTCAATGAAATTGAATGTCAGGCTCGACGACCGTGTTGAATCACTGTATCAATAGTATCAAACCAAGTAGTCAGGACCTACTTACCAGTTTGATGAATCTGAAGGTTATTTTACAAATTGGGTAGAAGCACCCCCCCCCCCCAATGTCACAGAAAAGCAAAATTTGCTTAACACACACCCTAAGGGCCTGGACGGGAAGTCCATTATTAGATCCTAAGCAAGGGGAAAGAACCCACCTCCCGTGAATACTAGCCTTTAAAAAACACATTTTAAAAATACTAAACAAATTCCAAAAATCCTGAAAAAATAAAAGTCAAAAAGAAAACAATGTAGTTTCAGAAAAATATAACTTTATGTATGCGCAAACTGTTGTAACTTTAGTTCAATCGGGGTGTCCGACCCGTCACTCTCAGCCTCGCGGTCGGGCCCTAGATCTAAATTCTATAATTTCTCCGTCTGATCAATCGGAATCGCCCCAAACACTTCCTACAACGTTTTCATCAAAATCTGAGCCATCTGATTTGTCACATGCTCGTTTTTGCTCAAATCCATCGTTATTTCCGTTCTCGAACTCAATTGTGTCGCTTTTCAACAAGTCGAGGCACTTTCGAAGTGTCGGTAACGCGATCGCACTTCGATCAGCTCTAATACTAAAACTACTGCCCCCAAAAATTTCGTTTCGGTATCAAACGAAAGAAGAAACTTTTTGCTATAACTTAGCAATGACAATGAAAAATTAAATTTTCATCCGAATTGCTTAAAAATGGGCTTAAATGAAACTAGAGTAAATTCTAAGAACTGTGGTTTTTAAATTTTAAAAATCCATTGATAAATAAAAAAGTTATTGGGATTTTTGTTTGCAAAATGTTGGAGGACCTTCATATAGGAAAAAATCGCCAAAATGTGGGACATGTTTTGATGTATTTTGAGGAAAAACTGTTCATAAGTCAGTAATGAATTGGAGCATATGAATGAAACTTGGCATCTCCATGTGATTTTTAGTGCCAAATCTAGTTCTGCTATCACTTTTTCGTTGTCTTCATTACTTTGGATCTTAAACACTGATATTTGCGTGAAATTTGTTGAATTGCGTGACATCGTTTTTACCGCGACGCGATCACCCCTTCTAAAACTCAGTAAAGCGCTATCGGGAAAACCCGCGATGTAGTCATCGGTGACCCATTTGGTTATAGGCAGCCAATCACATGCCGCCTAGCGATCACGCGCCTCTTGCATGCCGGCACCTCGCGTTTGGAATGCGCGATTAAGTTTCTAGATCTAGTGTTTTATCAATGGGTGGGTGGTAATTTTAAGTTGGTACGGAAAATCTACTAAACGCAGAGATCTGAAATTTTACAGCAATAAAGAAGACATGTGGGGCGCTTGTGTGGTCGGCGATCAACCCGCTGCTCCGCTTAGTTTTCGAACCGCAGAGGAAATTCTCACAAACACGGCAATATCTCCGGTTCTAGTAATCGTTCGGGATTGTACGCTGGCATGTCGTTAGTTTAACCTTTCCTCTGGTTGGTTGCCGAGTTTCATTGATTTTCGTCCAGGAGTTTTCCCGTAACTAAACTTAGAAGAGAGTCACTTCTGATTCCGAGCGGCCCAAAAAATACCCCTCGCGCGGAGGCCGATTTCCGGCACAAGGCGCAGCGGGCGATTGGCATTGCTATATAACTATGCAAATCAAAATCCCGGCCCCAGAGTCTCGTCAAGGCGAGACTTTCGTTTCTTAAGACGCTGGGTCGGCGCGGGCGGTTCCGGGCGAGTCAGAGTGGAGCGCGTAAGGGAATTCCCGGGCGAGTTAGGGTGTAATGTGTTAAAGGAATTTTCGGCAGTAGCTCGGATATGTCTATGCCCACTCACCCAGTGTTGGCGTCCTGCTCAACCATCTTGAGGGATTCAAGGGCCTGCAGCACTCTCCTGGCAATGATGTTGGACGCACGGCAGTTGTGGCTTGGGGCAGTACCGTTACTCTTCTTGCCTGAAACGGGACAAAACCAAATTTGAGTTGAGCCTCAGTTTGACAATCATAATATAACAGCAGCCTACAAGTAGTATCATGTACTTTTTCAGAAAAAGTAAACCCTTCTAACTAGGGGAATTATTTTCAAAGCCAAAGAAATTCTAAACACGGACCCCTCCCCCCATTCAACTCAATGTACATAGAGGTGAATTAGCATCATATGACACTAATGTAATTCTTAGATACGATACAGTACAATTATAATATTTAATTGTTTTTTTGTTTTAAATCAGGAGCAGAACCTAAAAAGACCATATGAACTGGCTTCCAATCCTATTCAAGAAAAGGGAAGATGTGATAAACACAGTGCACCAGAAACTGCAGGGGGAATAATACCATAGTCTCTTTAAACTAAAGGGAGTAGTCGTTCCACCAATAACACATGATTTCTGGCTTGAGAAGCAACACATCATCGGTGTCACAAGCAATCCACTTGACCACTTCACTGCAGTGTAGCGTATCTCATACAACGGCTCAAACCCGTGCATTGTTCCATTGACATCTCAGTTTCTATTAAGTTTTGAATAAAGAGAGTGGCATCCCTTGAAAGGTTATCGTTTTTGCAAGGACATCATACCTATATAGGTCTATATAGACTATGCGACGGAAAAGGCGGGTTCTACAATATGAAAACAAAGCTAGGCGTGCCGTTTTCCTTACACACCTAGCGAGGCGGTCAGACTCGGAACGCTTGTCTCAGTTCTTTACATTGGTATACCGTTTATAACTTGTTCCGTCTGAGTATTGGCTATGGATAAACCATTTGTGAGGAGTGCCGACGAAATGAGTAACTTTTCGGGTTTTAGCCCAATGGAAATTTTATCACAATCAACTTCATAGGTGGAGTTTGTAAAATTTTAAAGTATGGAATAAAAGACATGGTAGACATGAGCAAAGGCAAAATGGTATCAATTGAAAACCTATATATCTGATCCCAGTGTCGATTATCAGCCGATATATATATCTCCATTCTTGGATCGCCAGAAGCAGACCTGTTACTCCATGAAATCTCAAAATCAGGATTTTAAGGGGAAAAAAAATCAAGACCAACAGCAAAAATCACCAAGGTGACTGCCAAGCTGACCTAAAAAATTTCCGAGACAGGTATCTATGCCCTCTTGTGTGTGTGTGTGTAAGCATCACGTCAAGCACTCAACCCCCCCCCCCCCAAAACCATTAAGTTCTGAAAGGCACTTTCAACCAGTGTGCATGAACCGCCGGTCCCCGACACCCATGGAACACGCGTGTTTCTATGACCTTATGCAGCCGAGAGCGCTGCAAAACACTTAAAATAAAAACCCCCAACAAACCATACACACACAAGACACGGCGCACCTGCAGTAGAATTTTTGTTGCCGTGGGTGTGTGTGTGCGTGCGTGTTCCCCCACTGGGCGTCTTATCACGTTGGGGTCTGCTCCCTGCCTGGGCCGACTTAACTTTTGGTACTTTTCAACATACAATTTTAGGTGTATCCTTGCATTTATGGTAATTCTCATTCAGCGCACCCAAAGCATGCATTTCTGCTCTTGAAACAAAAAAAAAAAGAATGGACGTTTTAACTTGTCTGGTCAATTCGTTAGACGCGTCGGACCTGGCAATTTTTTTTGAATAGCGTGGAGGAAAAAAAAAAGGCCTCGACAAAATCGGTCAAACTTTATGAACATGAAAGACATCGCATTCGTGCCGATACTTAGAAAAGATGGTATCTGCGCATATAATAGAAAGCTGTAATTTCGCAACTTTATCCACCGGGCACACAATTCGCTATGAAGCAATTCCTCCAAATACAACTTTATGAGTCTAATATAACCGTGAATCTTCCACGGCGTCATTTTTCGCCCGATTCTGTTACTTTTAGTTAGCGTGACTCAGCAGCCCGCCGGAGCTCACCAGGTTAATGAGCCCTGAAGCGACTTTGCCGGTGTCGGTCAGGAAGTTCGCATTTTTTACCATGTTTAAAACGATATAACTTCTTCCCCATCCCACATAGCAAACCATTGCGCGGATGCACTAAAAGGCTCAATGTCTTGAGATTTATTCTGCGTTTGAATGGTTAATTTCTGTGCCTTAGTTTTTGTTCTAGACAAGTGTTTGTAGAGTACCCAATTTGTCCTATCTTAGTTACAAACTTATGAACAAATGATTGTTAATTAAAAAAAGGCACGACATCTCTCCAAAATCTGTGTTAAACTGACTACGAATATCATGTCTTTTACCATGAGAAATCTTAAATCTGCGCGAGTAGTAATAGTCAAGTTATAAGAGAAGAAAGATGCACATCTGCATTTTTTAACTAAAGACGATCAGCGTTAGCTCTATTTCAATATTAAACAAGAGAAAGTTACTCTGCGTTGTAATGGAATCATGCTGTGTCTGTAGAAGCCTGCATACAACTAAAAAGATATAATATAAGCGATTAAAAAAACCACAAAACCGTGTAAATACATGGGTAGAGATAAACTTCTTGTATGGAATAAAAATAATGACAGCTAAAAAATTCATTCTTAGTTTTTGTGTCGGAAATATGTGCGGACACAATTATGAATGTGAAAAAATCAGTCTCATTGTCAGTTATTGCAAACGGTCATAGAAACGAAAAATAAAGCTGGAAAAGTCTGGTGCTGATTCAAAGTCCCTGGAAAGCTAGAAATTATTCTTATAACCCAATAACAGTAATTGCTATTACTTAGCAATGACCACGAAAAACCTTTATTTTTTGCCAGAAAGTGTTTGCAAATAGGTGCATTTTGCAGCTTTATCTTCACAGAGCATGGAACTTTTTGAATTTTTGAAATCCATCAATAAACAAAAAAGTTACGGATTTTTTAATCAATAAATTCTGGTACACTTTTATATGAAAGCCCCCCAAAATATGGGACGTTCTTTGGTGACGATTGAGACAATATTCGTCATAACTCGCTCATTTCTCTGAGTATTTAAAAGAAACTTGGCAACTCAGTACATTTTCTACTGCAGAATCCAGTCCTGCCTTCTAATATTGATTTTTTTCTCTTTCACGCTAGTGCAAAAAAAAAAGTTACAATTTAGCATTGCCGACTCCAGCGCGTCTAACGAAATAACCAGGCAAGTTACAACGTCCGTTCTTTTTTGAGTCTCAAGAGCAGAAATGCATGCTTTGGGTGCACTAAATGAGAATTACCATAAATAAAAGGATACACCTTAAATTGTACGTTGAAAAGTAAAAAAAATTAAGCCGGCCCAGACAGAGCAGCGACAGGGAGCTGACCCCCATGACCCCAACGTGATAAGGTGCCCGGCGCGGAACCCCCCGCGGCAACTAAAATTCCACTGTAAAAGTTACCAAGAAGTTTCTCTATGAAAAGTACAAATCGATTTTAGTGCCAGAATACATCTTCAATGCAATACACAAACAGTATTTGTTACACTTAAGAAATTCCTCATTTTTCTTAAAACGCTTAGTCTAGGTTTTGTAAGTTGACTGAATAATAGGGATGACCTCGTAATTGGGTTATAAGAATAATTTTTAGCTTTCCAGGGAAACTGAATCAGCATTTTTCCAGCTTTATTTTTCTTTTTTATGACCATTTGCAATAACTGACAATGTGACTGATTTCTTTACATTCATAATTGTGTCCGTGCATATTTCCGACACAAAAACTAAGAATGAATGTGTTAGCTGTCATTAAATTTATTCCATACAAGAAGTTTATCTTTACTCATGTATTTACACGGTTTTAAGGGCAGAAAGATAATGTACACTAATTAGAACAACAAACCTCCATAAATCTTGGTCAGAGCCCCAACACCGCAGGGAGCACGGATGTACAAGTGGCGGGCCACTGAGGCTGAGGATGAAAAAGGAGCAAAAATTATTCAAAAGGAAATTCCCCATATCAACCTCAAGTGTGAGAGAAACAATAAAGCAGTAACAAAGCTTGTGCTTTACGTCAACATATATCTCGCCAGCCGTGAGATTCAACCGCCTAAGTACTAAAGACAAACTTTACAGGAGAAGCAAAAAACCTTTATTTCTTTATGCCCGTACCTATGAGTTTGAAATTAAGATATGTAATATAATGATGTAGGACGATGGTTTGTAACTAACTAAAAGAACCCCCCCCCCCCCCCCCCAAAAAAAAAGACAATGTCCCCCCCACTTTCTTACATAAGTTACTGAAAATAGGCGGTTTACACTACCAAAATCTGCACGATTCAACCGTCTCAGTGACAGAGTAATGACCCTTGAATCACGTTAATCAACTCCACTCGACGAGTGCCAATAGTAGCTTGGGTGTTTGAGTAATCGACAAAAGCAAATCATAATCGTTTTAAGAGTTTCAGGGCATCCAAAATATGCCATTTCTGGCTATTCAAGCCTAAATTTAACAAGAAAATAAGAGAGGGAACCCCCCCCCCCCCCACATACCTTGCATACATAAATTTCTTAGTAGTTAATCCATATAAATCCAAGGCTGTGCTTTCTCACTTGTACAGGTAGGTCTACTATAGTAGTATAACAGCTAGATCTATAAACTTGACAGTTAACTTATTTCTGCTTGTTGGTTTGCACCTTAATGTGTTGAGTACATATTATGATTATCCAAGGCCATGCTGTTCTCCCTTGCACTGTGCACCCATAACAATAGTATAACAGCTAGATCTAAATCAGAGATTCCAGCAGCTGATGTAATTTTTTGACAGAGCCCTTGCAGGGGGTTGAAGGGGGACAGCGCTCCCTTATGTTTGACAATTTCTGGTTATTCAAGCCAAAATTTAATAAAATAGCGAGAAAAAACACCATGCATACATAATTTTCTGCATGTATTAATCCATATAAACCTAAAGCCATGCTTTCTCACTTGTACAGATATAGTACACCCATAACAGTAGTACAACAGCTAGATCTATAAAACTTGACAGTTAATGTTCAACAACTTTTTTTCCTGCTTGTGTTGGTTTGCACCATAATGGGTAGAATCCTTATAACAATATTATAACAGCTAGATCTAGATAACGTGACAGCTTATATTCAACTTAAATCCACAACAATACTTAGATCTACAAATAAACAAGTCTGGTAAAAAACAACAAAAAACAAGCTCTCTTCAGAGTTTTCTTTTCTTGACAGGCCCAAGATCTATTAAACCACAATCGTAATTTCTTCCTCTTGTTTACAGTGCTGGTGCTCTTCTTGTGCTTTAGAAAGTGAAAGTAAGACACTGTCTACACTTTCAAATAAAAGAGAACTGGTATGGGTAGGCTATTGTTAACTACCAGTAATTACAGACATTTTTTATAATAATTTTTTTTGGGGCACGAATTTTCACGCAAAATTTTCCATTTGCAGAACACTGGAAGCACTGCTAAATAACTCGACAGCTTATGTTCAACATAAAACCACACCAATATTTACAAATAAAGTCTGATAAAAAAATCAAGCTCTTTTTTTTTTAGCTTTTTTTTCTTGGCAGGCCCAAGATCTATTGAACCACATTTCTTCCTCTTGTTCACAGTGCTGGTGCTCTACTTGTGCTTTAGAAGTTAAAGACTGTCTACACTGTCATATAAAAGAGCACTTCTGGCATGGGTTGGCTACTGTTGACTTTTACCAATAATGTAACATTTTAATTTCGCAGTAGCCTTCTTTTTACAAAATTTTCACAGAAATTGTTTCATTTGCGGAAAACATGAAGCACTGATTTTACTTTCTGACAAAATTACCATGGATGCACAAAATGGAGGTTGCTTAGCCCCCATGGTACATCATTATAATAACAGTACTCCAAAGAGGAGAAACTTACCAGCCCTAATGTAAAACCAGTCCTCATCATAGGGACTGAGCTCCTTATGGCGCCCTAGCTTGACAATGTCGGACCATTCTGGAACCTTTACCTTTCCAGTCCTATAAAAAAAAAAAAAAGGTCGTTCAGCTGTTTAGTATGTAAGTATGACACACAAATAATACAGTACCAGAAGTAAAACAAAACGAATAATGCTACAAATTTTGATTTTGGAACAGAAGTGTTATCCCCTCACAATAGACTAGATCAAGTGTATGTGCTGTTCCCCATTCAAGGCCAATAACGTCACAAAATTTTAATAAAAAAGTCTGCCAGAAAAGAGACAGATTTCTGTGTTATGATGTGTCACTCTGCGTCTCTTCACTGACACATGTTTGTAAACACTCGGGCTGCAGACCTTGTTGACTTGTTTCACCCCCAAAAGTGAACCGGAGGTAACAACTCGTTCGCTACTGAGCACGTTACGGTAAAAAATTTTGAGGGCCTTTCCCCATCCTGCCAAAATAATGTATTCCACGTTTTGACCCCCCCCCAATATAGAAATCTTACGCAATTATCAAGGGATGTAACCAAAACAATGACCACTCAGGACACATGCGATAAAAGTAACCCCCCCCCCCAAATTTCAGTGAAAACAGAACCAAGTCTTATCGATTCTTCCAAAATCACATTAGGTGTAGCAATGAGTGAGTTGAGTACATCAACCATTAAGGAAGCCTATCTGCAGAGCAATGACTATCCAGTTCGACCATGACACCAGTTAGTATTTACTAAGTGGCTAGCCATACTTTCTAAGGTTAAAGGCCCTAATTGTTGAGTACACAGGTCTCAAAAGATCTGAATCTAGTAAGTAAATATCAAGGTTTAAAAGAAATGCATGTCAGTAAGGCACCTTTTGGTTTCGTCTGAAATACAAATACTTTAGGCATTGCAAACTAAAATTTTATTTACAATTCAGCCATCATTATTAAGCACGGCTAGCCTGCCAGTCTAGCCGTAATTAACCATGGAAGTGGTGCTCAGCGTTTCACCGGAAGTAACCCGTCGCAACGGTCGATCAGTTATAAACACAGGGGTTTGGCCGGGAATAGCTGAGATACGAGAAATGGAAACCTGCTACTGAAAAATGACCGTTTTACAGCTCAACAGAGATAAATGATAAAAAACAAATAAAACCATAACTTTTCTTGAAGCTCATAGAGCGAGCCAAAAAAAATTATATACACAATCAAAGCACAAAACACGATTAACTCAACAATTAGTACATTAGCACGGCGAAACAAGTGACAATGCGTAGTCGCTCAGCTGGACTGCGTCACTTTATCAATCGATATCTTGGCCAAGAGACGCTCTACGGGTCCAAGATGACCTGAAAAGTCATTGTTCACTATTTACAACTTTGACATATGTAATGTACTACGTCACTCTCCATACAAGGAATAATGAAATTTTCCATTGAAAAGTGTCAGCGTCTATGCTCTTATATAATAGGGTCTGTGCGCCCCCGGGTAGCCTGGCTCACGCCCTTTATTTTTATATAGGGCCTGCGCGCTTCCATGGCTGGCAGCCTAGCAAATAAGTACGGCTAGCCTCATATTATCCATAACTGTACATAAAAAATGTTACCCACCTTTTCAAGAAATCAGCCAAGGCCTTGGTGAACTCATGAGCGTTGACATCCTTTACAGAAATACCCATCTGGGAACAAAATTTCAGCACATTACAAACTTACTCTCTGATGACACAATACGTTACCAGCCCTGCCACTCTGTGAAATCTCAAAATCAGGATCTCAGGGGAAAAAAAATGTCAGGATCCACAACAAATCACCAAGGTGACTGCAGACTGGAAAAAAAAAAATGACTGTCTTTATTCGGACTCGGGTCCGGAAAAAAGGAAGTGTCTTCGTTCTATAGCCTAGATCTAACGTTCAGTGCTTCCAATTTTCAGCGATATTTTAGTTCCCCCCACACCTTATCTGCCGACCCGATGCCCGCCACCTCATTGATACGCCCCCCCCCCCCATGTTTCCCACTTTCTTTATTATGAGCTGTGTAAAAAAGAAAAAAAAAGACAGATTCGTTCAAATACGCAAGCCTGTGTCATCTCGATTGTTTACCAAGAAAAAGTTGTGTTGCTGTGTAGAGCCGAGCATACGGCAAGTTTGGATTCCAAAGACCAGCGCACAAATTCATTACGCAGATCAACGTCAAGACTTGCTTACATTATTGTAATAATGAAATGATCAGTTGCTGGGGGAAAAAAGACTTGATGCGTATGCGACGCCCAGACCGCTAGTGCCTCCCCTCCCCGACACGCACACACAGCCGAGCCACACGTGTGCAGGCCACCTATCCGACCCCAACACACGCTAACAAGCCATCTTTAATTGCTTTTGATGACCTCTTGAGTCTTGATAAATAAACATTTATTAGAAGCGTTGTAACTTTTCAGGCCGGCCTCAAATTCATCATAAGTGACATAAGATAAAAACTCGGCTCCTGCACAAAATGTCATTTTGCACGAAGTGATCCTGATCTCTACCCAGCATGAGGCGAGCCACGAGCGAGGCAGGACAGTCCGACAGGGAGCCGGAAGTAGGAAGTGATGTCATGCTGGACCAGAATCAGAGCCCGAAAAACATTTTTTCATATTCGGACTCGAGTCCGAAGTCACTTAGAAAAAAATAGGTAAAATCGGGATGAGTGGCAGGTCTGGAATACTCATTAACAAAGCCTCTAGCACAAACAACCCCTGTTGCTATTCACTAGACAAAAAGTTAATAACGGTGAGGATAGCCAAAAGGCTTGCCTGCGTTATTCTCACCCGGGGTGAGAATAGAGGTGGCCTCACAGTTATGCATTAGAAAGTGGCTATTCTCACCTGCCCGGAAGTTCTCGCAAGATCAACTCCTCCCCTCTTCTCTCTCTCTCTTTCTGAATGGAAGTGGCTATTCTCATCCGGGGTGAGAATAGAAAAACGATCTACCTCTCACCCCGGGTGAGAATTGCCAGCGTAGGCTATTCTCACCCGCTGCGAAACAAGACCTGCTTTTCCTCATTTTTGAATACTGTCTATCGGTGTGGATGATCAAATTGACCAAAACAAAGTTAAAAAATGATGTTAAAACACAAAAGTAAATTAATTTGGTTGTCTACAAAGATGCTACGGCTATTTAACTTTTCGAATCGAGCCGAACTACGTGGGTCGCCATTTTGTTTTGACCGGAAGTTCTCGCGCTACTCCTCTCTCTCTCTCTTCACTGCCCACAGACAAAATTGTACACTTTTGGTAGGCTACAGTTGTAATGGCAATGGAACGTTTGTTCACGGCACAGAATTCTACAATGTTTCTGTTATCACAGTGTAGAATTCTGTGGTTTAGGGTGAACGCAAAATTTGTTGGCTATAACGGTGAACGCGCACTGGGTGAGAATAGAGGTGGCCTTTCTGAATACTGTCTATCGGTGTGGACGATCAAATTGATAAAAGCCAAGAAAAAATTACTTTATAGCACAAAAGTAAGCTAATTTGATCGTCTTCAAAGATGCTATGGCTATTTCACTGTTCGAATCGAGCCGAACTACGCGGGTCGCCATTTTGTTTTGCCCGGAAGTTCTCCTAAGATCTACTCCTCCCCCCCCCTCTCTCTCTCTCTGTCTCTTTCTGAATACTGTCTATCAGTGTGGACGATCAAATTGACCAAAACAAAGTTAAAAAATGATGTCAAAACGCAAAAGTAAATTAATTTGGTTGTCTACAATGATGCTACGGCTATTTAACTTTTCGAATCGAGCCGAACGCGGGTCGCCATTTTGTTTTGACCGGAAGTTCTCGCGCTACTCCTCTCTCTCTCTCTCCGCTGCCCAGTCACAGACAAAATTGTACGCTTTTAGTAGGCTACAGTCACTACAGTTGTAATGGAACGTTTGTTCAAATTCAAGGCACAGAATTCTACAATTTTTCTGTTATCAGTGTAGAATTCTGTGGTTTAGGGTGAAAGCAAAATTTGTTGGCCTAGATCTAGGCTATAACGGTAAACGCGCACCGGGTGAGAATAGCCAAAAGACTCGCCTGCACTATTCTCATCCCGGGTGAGAATAGAGGTGGCCATGCATTAAATAGATGCACCCCAGGTCTAAAACTGAACAGGGAAAAATAATTCGGACCAGAACCTGAAAAAATCATGGATGGAATCACTACAAAAACAAACATGGCGAAACCTAGATCTAGACTCTAGTCAACAGTAACTGGCGATGGAAACCCTGGAAGACAACAATAATAGATCTAGACTTACTAGATTCTAGATATCTATATTTGGGCCAATCACACAGGTGTTCGCTTAGCTTCATGTTTTCTGAAGTGAGACTAAACCTAGATTCTAGATCTAGTCTAGGCTTCTAGGAGGCCTAATAATAACCCTGGACAGCAAACAGTTGTAAGGACTCAAGACAGATCAGATCTCCAATCTCAGTCTAAATATGAACTGAATATCAAAGAGGTAGAGGCAGGATACAGGACTAAAACTACGATTAGGATCTAAATCTAGATCTACACTGTACTAGATCTAATCTAGATCTAATAGATCTGAATCTGCAGGCTGAGGACTGAGGCTACTCTACTACTACAAGATCTTGACGTCTATAGGTTCAGGACTATCAGGTGGCCATAGCCATAACAAACGCCGGAGCCATGATCATCGCCATACAAAAAGTCGCATTAGATCTATAGATCTACGTCACAAATGACAACATGAAGGCTAAACAGTGATGCAACTGGCATTTTTCTCAGTAAAATAGGATTCATTCACCACATAAATCATTGCCAAGGAAATAAAAACGAGCTCTAGATCTATCTTGTGACAGAACAGAGCCTGCAACCGAGATCTACAACTGAACAAGAAGACTGATTAACCTGTTTACGATAACCTAGAGAATGTGCAGTAATAATGCAATCATTTTTACCTTGGAACAGAAATTTGGATATAATTAAATTCACTGGGAACTCATAAAACTATAAAAGGTTGACTTTACCTCCTAACCAGACAAAGTCGTACGATTTTATTCAATATAAGTTGTTACCTTGTTCTCAGGGTATGTATGTCGGCAAGTTTACACCGGAAAAGGAAGTTCCACTGAGGCAAGTCACAATTTTTAGCAGATTAAATTTAAAAAACAGCATCGTTCTGTAAAACCACGAATAACACTATGTACTTGTAAAATTTATAATTTTTGTGATTTAGGTAAAATAAGTAGATATAAAGATTTATCCTTTTTTGTTCAAGACTTTTGAATTTCCTATCGATAAAACATGGATCTTTCAAAGACTACAACTTTTATAAAGTTAGATCTACTTTTTGTGGAGTTGAAGCTGCGGAAAAACCGCGAAACAAAAATTCGAACTAAGCCAACAGCCCTGGCCTACCAACATAGATCTAGGGATTGACAAGCTTTACCTTGGAGGACTTCCTCATTTCAACTTCCTCAGTTTCATCAAGATCTGAATTTGACGTTCGGTCTAGATCTATACGTTTTGTCAGAGTATTGTCGAAAACCTTCTACCATGGAGTCTGATTTGATAAAGTCGTTTGTTTCCGTTCTTAATTTATTGTAGAATCAGAAAAGTTGAACGGGTAAGTTGATTTTTTAAAATGCTGCCTTTGCCTTTAACTTTAGTCTTAGTTTAGCCTCGTCTTTTAAGAACGTTAGGCCGAGGACTAGAATCTAGATCTAGATCTAGATATAGATCTAGATCTATATCTAGATCTAGAAATCTAGTCTAGATCTAGATCTAGATTCTAGAGATCTAGATAGATCTATGTAAACTTTTCTCGATCTAGATCTAGATCTAGATATTAGATCTATTATTATTAAGTCTACTTTGTGTAAGCTCCTCTTACGGACAAAACTAAAGTATGCATGCTTCATCACTAGATTTCTAGATATCTAGATCTAGAGTCTAGAATCTATATTCTAGATCTACACAAAAAACAACAAAGCAGCAAGTTATAATTACGGACAGGCCACCTCTATTCTCACCGGGGGTGAGAATAGTGTGTAGTGTAGGTGAGTCTTTTGGCTATTCTCACCCAGTGCGCGTTCACCGTTATAGCCTAGCCTAGATCTAGGCCAACAAATTTTGCGTTCACCCTAAACCACAGAATTCTACACTGTGATAACAGAAAAATTGTAGAATTCTGTGCTGTGAACAAACGTTCCATTACAACTGTAGCCTACTAAAAGCGTACAATTTTGTCTGGGCGGTGGAGAGAGAGAGAGAAAGAGAGAGAGAGAGAGGAGTAGCGCGAGAACTTCCGGGCAAAACAAAATGGCGACCCGCGTAGTTCGGCTCGATTCGAAAAGTTAAATAGCCGTAGCATCTTTGTAGACAACCAAATTAATTTACTTGTTGTGTTTTAACATAATTTTTTAAACTTTGTTTTGGTCAATTTGATCGTCCACACCGATATACAGAGTATTCAGAAAGAGACAGAGAGAGAGAAGAGGGGAGGAGTAGATCTTGCGAGAACAAACAAGCTCCTCCCTGACATATGTTACGTTTTTACCGTCTTTCATAAATATACTGACAGTCATTAAAAACGCACCACTTACAAAACAGTTCAAATAATGGTGATGTTTTTATTTTTTAAAACAGATTGTATACCATAGCATTCTATGGTCATTTTGTGAACATTCACAGCTGAAATTAAATGAAAAGGTCAAATGGCACCGCCAGCATAAAAGCATGAAGTAACAAAAGTCATTTTTAAAAAATCAGAGCGGTAAATTGAGTTTTTAACACCTGCTTTTAGTATCGTGTATGTCCTCCATTGGCCTGAATACTATATGTACATGATTTTGTAGCATCTTTTCAACCTGAATTGACAAGAGTCTGAAAGAACACTTGTGGAATCTGTACCCACTCATTTGTCAAAGAACGCCTGAGCTCTTGGAGATTGTGTAGAGGTCTTCCACGGGACAAACGGCGGCCAAGCTCGTCCCACACATGCTCAATTGGTGTAATGTCTGGAAACAGTGATGGCCAAGACAGGATATCAATGTTGTTTGTTTGCAGAAAAGCACTGGTGGCTCGAGCAGGGTGGGAGAGAGCGTAGGAATAACTGCAGCTCTGGGTGTTGACCAAATAACGGCACGAAGGGGTTCTGTAAAACCTGCTGGTACGTGTTGACATTCACAGGCTGGTCGAAGAAGTATGGTGGTGTGTGATAATCGTGGCTGAACGCTCCTCATACCATGACGCTGTCTCCTCCCCATCTATCGACCTCCAGCATGCAACAGTTGGCGTAGCGTTCGCTGGGCGTCTCCAGACCCTTCTTCTCCTGTCAGCATGCGAGAGGGCAAATCGACTCTCGTCAACTGCAAAAGCTGCCTGGCCCACTGCAAACGTTGTTGACGGTGCTTCTGTGTCAGGAAAGGACCAACGTATGGGCGTCTGGCTGCAAGTCCTGCTTCCCGTAAACGGCGTCGCATGGTCCATTCAGATACTGGTACACGCCGATCAACCGCTTGACGACCTGTTTCTGGTGCTGGCAAGAAAAATAATGGGTGAATATAATCTCTCCTTAACAGCCGAAAAATCTGTCTCGCTAAACAAAGTTTAGGTTTGAGGTCGACACATCGGATTTTTTGCATATTGCACATGCGCATTGACAGTTTTGAACTGGGAACTTCAAATTTTGTGTGATCGGTAACTTCTGTTGCCCGTGAACTTTTGTCAACCTCAATTGATGTTACTGGATAAATTTTAGTCCAAAATGGTGCGTTTTTAATGACCGTCAGTTATAATTTAGATCTATCATAACATAATGATTTATGTTAATGAAAATGTCATGATCATCGGCATGAAGCTGAGCAGAAAGTGGCTGTTTTATCCATGCCGCCTTTTGGCACATTTCTTTTTTAAACTTTGTATTAGAAAGGGCAGGTTTATCTTTTTAAAGTGGCTGTTGAATTTTCAACGTAAATATAAATAGCCTCTCGACAGGCTACAGGTAAGAGGCAACTAATTTACCCAGTCAGTGAATATAGCTCTCTGCAACCCCTCACTCCCATACCATTAGTGTTACAATGATAAATCATGCCAACATTCTCAAACTTTTAAAGTTTTTAAGTTGTTTTTATTGGTGGGAGGGGTGGGTGCGAGCCGGGCTACCTGCGAAGTGCGCAGGCCCTATGAGGGCATCTAGGCCCTGGCCTTTTTCTATGGAAAATTTCAGCATCCTTTATAATGCAAAATGCTTTTGGGGCGGGTTACTTCCAGGGAAATGCTGCGCTTCTAGGGCTAGATTTAAGGAAAGTAATTTCATCACACACAATTAGGGTGTGACGAGATGACTGTGTGACGAATGACCGGTTACCCTCAAAAGCAGTATGTGGTCACGAAGGCCGCCATTCAATCATTCATAATGTCATACTTTACACATACGCGTACAGTCAAACCTGTGAAAGACGGCCAGCCATTGTCAAGGAGAAAAGTGGCCGTCTTAGGCAGGACTGATCAAGATGAAGAAAACAAACCATTCCCATCTGAGGTCCCAATCGAAAGTAGAACCATTGTTGTTGTCTTTGTTGTTGTTGTTGCTGTTGTTGGTTTGTATTTCGTTTGTAATTTTTATTTTGTTGCTGATTTTGCACAAGGGTGACAATAAAACGAAATGTATCAGACGAGGAAGACCGAGTGCCATCTTAAAATAAAAACATGGGTTGCCACCACTTGGGGAAAGAGGGACGCTTCTGTCACAAGTTCATGTTGACGTCCTTTGTTACTTTGTTACAGACTGGATAAACAGTGACCACTCATCTCACGTACGATTTGTGTATGGGTTCTGGGTGGGGCTTATGGATTATGAGGGATCACACGCTTAACTCACCAGCAGTTGAAAATTGGTAGCTATTGATCAACAGTGGGAGGGGCCTACGCAACATGATCGGTTGGAGGGACTACCTAACAACAACGACAGGTGATTGA